TTCCTTCAATTTTTGCGTGGATTTCCCGTGAGCTTCTTCTCCAAATTCCCGCCGGCAACTTCCCCAACTGTAGCTCCGGTTTTAGCTGGAGAATTCTGCCTACTGGACTCCAACTGCAGCCTCACCTCTCAGCCAAAAGGCGTGTTATTGCCCTCAATGAGAAGCTGAGTTCGAGCTTGATGGCAGCAGCAGAGCATCCCAGCTCGGCAACAGCACAACAACCCAGCTCAGCAGCAAAGCTCAAAATAACGCTCCAGCTCGGCAGAAGCGAGGCAGTTCAGCTCAGCAGCAGTAGAGCAACCCAGCTCGGCAGCGGTAAAGTTCAAAGCAATGCTCCAGCTCGGCAGCAGCAGAGCAGCCCAGCTTGGTAGCAGCAAAGCGGCCAAGCACAGCAGCAACAAAGCAGTTCAGCTCGGCAACAGAACAACAGCCAAGCACGGCAGCAACAAAGCGGCCTAGCTCGCTGCACCAAAACAGTCCAGCTCGGCAGCGGCAAACCTCAACAGTACTCCGGCACATACCAAACAAATTTGTAAAGAAGCTCGTTGAGGAAGACACGGGCAATCAACAAAATATGATAATGGTCAGCCCGAACTTCCAACCACAACCATCCTCCCTGGGCAATAAACCATTTGAGCTTGGCTATCGCTCTGCGTTTACTGGGGAGATAAATCCTAATCTTTCATTATTTTACCTGGTTTTGGATGTTGTTTTATTCTCTTTTACTGTAATACAAGTTGGAATCTTCCTCTTTTTTGAACTCCCAACTCGGCAACGACAAAGTTCAAAGCAGTGCTCCACCTCGGCAGCAGCAGAGCAGCCCAGCTCGGTAGCAGCCAAGCAGTCCAACTCGGCAGCGGCAAAGCTCAAAGCAGTGCACCAGCGTGGCAGCGGCGAAGCTCAGCAGTACTCCAACTCAGCAGAAGCAAGACAGTCCAGCTCGGCAGCAGCCAAGTAACCCAGCTCGACAGCAGCAAAGCAGTCTCTCAGCTCGGTGGCACATACCAAACAAATTTGTAAAGAAGCTCGTTGAGGAAGACACGGGCAATCAACAAAATATGATAATGAATCCAAGAGCAAAATCCCTCCAATCAGCTGCTAGGGAACAAAGGCCTATGGTTCCAATGACAGAAAATGCTGATGGTAGTGTTGGAGATGGAAGCTCTGGAGGTACTGGACACCACCCTTCAAGATGACAGTTAAACCACTACCGGGAACACACATGCTGCTCTGAGAAGCCAGTAGTCGCATCTCATGCTCAGTTGAGAGCAGAGGCATTCAATCGCCCACGTAGCATCACCGAACCATTTGGAGGCTTGAAAGATTTGCCAATAAAGCTGTGAATAATGAGCTGTAACGAGCAAGCCATTTGGAGTTATTATCCCGTGGAAATTTGACAATAACGAGCTGTAAAGTCCCTGCTGCAACACGAGCTGGGAATTGCAGGAGCATGAGAAGCGAACTGCAAGAAAATGAGCTGTGAGCTGCTGAGTTCAAAAACACGAGCTACCGAGCTCAAACACAAGCTGCAGAGGTTGAGCACGAAGTGCAAGGGTTGAGAATGAGCTACAAAGTTCAAACACAAGCTACATAGCTCAACCACAAGCTGTAGAGCTCAAACACTCACTACCGAGGTCAGCCACGAGCTGCAGAGGCCGAGCATGAAGTGCAGAACTTGAACACGAGGTGCAGAAGTCGAGCATGAGGTGAAAGATATGCAGCACGAGCTGCAAGGTGTCAACACCCTCAACAAGGTGCCGACACTTTTCCTACATTCGTCCTTGAGAGTCCGTGTCGGGTTTTTGTCCTTCTCTGCAAATTCTGTTAACGGTAAAGTTACAGTCCCGACCCCTTACTTTTGGATTTTGCACAATTTAATCCTCAAATTTCATATATTTGCAATTTACTCCAAAAGATTGTGACTTTTTTCAATTAAGTCCTCTCCAGCACAAAATGAAAATTATGCAAAATTAAGTAAATTTTCATAAAATTCATCCAAATGTTAATAATATCAAGGCATAAATTTTACATTAGTATGTATATAAATTTAGTTCATCAACCATATATTGTTTTGAAAATTAAAAAAGATGAACTAGTAATCTTTTTCTTTTATTTATTTTATATATACTTTCTTGATTATAAAATTAGATGCCTTTAATTTCTCCTGTTTTCAAGTCCTCGTGATACAGGTTGTTAAGAAAGCAATTGAGCTCCGCAGCAAATTACAGCTTTGGCCCAAGATTGGTCCAATCTTATATTGAAATTTATTATTAATTGCTTTTCGTATTCTTCGCACATTTTTCCATTCATTCTGCACTTGTTTTTGCATTCATAATATCATTTTGCCATCTCATTTTTTATATATCATAATCATACTACTTTGCTCATTT